ATTTATTTTACTTAAAATGGAGAGTTATTTAGCAAAGTTGTTTTTCATAGCATTTTTCCATTCCCACTATGCTCTGTACCCTCATCATCATTTCCCATCTGGGCCATTTCTTCAGGTCCCTGTCTGTCTGTGTCTCTTTCTTTCAATATTTTGTTTGGGTCTCATTGTAAATTATGTTAAATACTAAATTGGAGAAGAGGCTCTAAATCCACACAAAATGAGAATTTCATTTTTTAAAAGAAACTTTTTTACTAGAGGGCATGTGTGTTCACTGGAGAGACAGAAAGCCAGAAATCACCCCCTGGGTGGCTGGCCAAGCCACAATCCCTTCTCCTCCATTTTCCTTTCTGGATCTTGGGTACACAAGCACACAGGCCCAGCGTGAGTTTTAAGCTGCCAGGTCCCAGATTCGAACCGTGACCAAGTACATGGGAGTTCAGTGACAACCATTATGTCATCTACTGGTCCCCAAAATGAGAACTTCTAAGATGTATCTTTTGGGCCTGTCTCGTAGCACAGCAGTTGAGCTCTGTGCAGTGGGAGCCGGAGCCTACATGGCCAACTGTGGCTCAGGTACAGCTCAGCCACTTGAGGCCAGATATGTGTGCCCAGAGTCCTGACGAGGAGGATTCAACAGAAAGGGTTGTGTTGGCCACATCCTGTCGGGTGCTTTCTCTCTCTCCTTTTCTCTTTCTCTTTTTCTCTCTTGATACATATATCTTCTAGTTAAGGGGAAAAAAGCAGGTGGTGGAATAAATATCGCAAAGTAATACCTAACTTTAGAAAGTAGAAGAAAAACATACTGAACCCAAAATAAGAGAAGGGAAGGAAATACATAAAATAGAAGAACAATAGAGAAAAATGAATGAAAATTAAAGTTTGTTCCTCAAAAAAAAAAAAAAAATCAACCTTTATCTATCTAGATTGACGAAGAAAAAAAAAAAAAACAAGAACCTAAAAATGATTAAATCAGGAATAAAAAAGGGGACATTATTAATGAACTCACAGAAATAAAAAGGAGGAAAAGGAATATTGTAATCTCTTTTATGCCAACAAATTAGATAACCTAGATAACGACATTTTCCTAGAAACACAAATGATCAAAACTGATTCAAGAGGGAACCAGCAGGTGGCGTGGTGGTTAAGGCGCTGGACACTCCCACATGGGTGACCACGGTTCAAATCTTGGACCTGGTGGCTTGCTTTCTCACTCTCTCTCTCTCTGTCTCTCTCTGGTCAAATTAAAATAAATGAATAAATGAAATTAAATAATTCTTTAAAAAAATACTGACTCAAGAAAGAGAAAATATCTGAACAAATAACTAAAGGGATTGAGCTAATCAACTTTCAACAAAGAAAAGTGTAGGGCAAGATGGTTTCGCTGGTTGATTCTCCCAAATGTTTAGAAAAGAATTAGCATTCAAGGACCAGCAGTTAGCATAATGGCTATGTCGCTGGACTCCCATATAGTCAACTGCAGTTCAAGTCCCAGACCCGGTGGCTTAAACTCATGCTGGGTGTGTGTGCATGCGTGCCCAAGATCCCAATAGGAGAATGGAGGAGAAGGGATTGCGGCATGGCCATCCCCCCTGGGGGTGATTCTCGCTTTCTGTCTCTCTGTCTCTCTCTGTCTTTCTGGCGAGTGCACGCACCCTACAGCAAAAACCTTTCCAAAAAGAAAAAAGAAGAATTAACCCTAGTCCTTCTTAAGCTCTTCTAAGAATCCAAGAGACACTCACGTTCTGACTATTCTGTGAAGCCAGTGTTACCTTGACACTAAAGCAGAAGGGGACGTCTGATGAAAATAAAGCTGCAGACCAATATTCCTTGTTGCAGAAGCCCTCAACAAAGTATTGACAATATCCAGCAGCATGCAGAAAGTGAGATCTATCCCAGGAATGCAAGGTTGGTTCAGCATATGAAAATCAATCAGTATAATGCACCATATTATTAGAGTAAAGAGAAAACAGCTACAGGGTCATCTCAGTCAATGCAGAAAAGGCATTTGACAAAAATTCAGCACCCATCCCATTCATGACAGTACTCTGGTGTCAGGTGTTGTGATTTTTCTCTATAAAGCTCTAAAGAATTCACATAAAAGCAGAACTAATAAAAACTCCAGCACTAGCAGGATACAAGATCAATATACAAAGAACACTTTCATTTCTATACACTAGCAAATTAATCTTGCAAATTCATTTATAATAGCATCAGAAAGAGTAAAATCCTTAGGACATATTTTCAATGTAACTACAGAAGTTCAAGCCGCACATACTGAAGACCACACAAACAGTGCTAAAGAAGTGGAAGCAAGTACAAGTGAAAGGACAGACATGCCTTCTTCGCGGCTGGAAGTGTTGGCGTGTGCTGTAACATGGATGAGCTTTGAAGATACTGTGCTGAGCAAATGGAGCCAGACACAGCACTCCAGCCTGAAAACTCCTAAATGCCAACCCTGGAAGGAGATAGGAAATGCTCCTCCCCGCTGTGCTGAGTGTCAAGAGCATCAGTGCTGGAGGCCACGAGTTTGGTTTAGAACTGAAAGCTTAAACCTAAATGAATACTATATATTTTTTCTCCTGGGTACTATTTAAATTTTTTTTTTTTTTTAGTTTTTTTTCCCTAATTATTTAATTTTATTTGTGAATATTATTATTATCTTAAATTTATTTTTTGAGGAAGTGGGAAAGCAAGCCACCAGGTCCAGTACGTGGTCGGCCATGTGGGAGTGTCCAGCACCATAACTACCGTGCTACCTGCTGGCTCCCCCCCCCTTTTTTTTAAATTTATTCATTGTGATTATTATTATTTTAAAATTTGCTCTAGGACACATCCACTCACCAGGGAGAGAGAGAAAGTGAGGAAGTAAGCCACCGGGTTAGGAACTTGAACCACAGGCGGCCATGTGGAAGTCCAGCGCCTGAACTACAGTGCCACTGCTGACCCCATTGGTAGCGTTTTTTACACTGAGCTACATCACATCAGATACACTCATCCGTTTAAAATGAACATTTTCATGACTGTTCTCGTGTATTCACAGAGTTGTGCAGCCATCACCATCATCAATTTAGGGATCTCTTCACCAGTCCCAGAAGAAATTCTGTACCCATTAGTAGTCATTTCCTACTTGCCCTAGGCAGCCCGTTTTTGTCTCTATACATTTACTTACAGACATTTCACATAAATAGAGCATATAGTCCTTTGCGACTGGCTTCTTTCCCTTAGCATCATGGGTTCTTATGTTTATACGTGTGTTTCTCATGAAAGAGGGACAGACAACACCCCAAGCAGTATCTTACCATCGCGGCCCACCCCTGCCCGTTGGATCACGAGCACACGCGTATGCAGCGAACTCAGCTCGGAACTCCCCTGCGGGTCAGTCTTACCAGCACTGCATTTGACTCCTGTACCACGTTCTGTCCCAGTCATGTCGTTAAGGTTCATCCATGCTGTAACATGTATCGTGCTTCACTCCTTTTTAAAAAATTATTATTTTATTTATTGTCATCATTAATTT